CCTCAGATAGGCCTAAATAAAATGTTTTTAATTGTGTACCAGTTTAACGTTGAATATTATTTATGATTTTAACTTTATACACATGTGCCAAAATACTATAATTGTTAGGACTATTTCGTTATATTTTGCTGGCATTAAACAGTGTTAGTTTTGTTTTTAACTTGCCATCAAAGTTAAATATTGTATGGGTGGAATATGACAAGGCTTAACTCTGAGGTTCAACTTGATTTCATCAAAAGTATTTAATCAATACAAAACCTAATGTAAGTTTTCCATTTTTTTACCTTGTACCCTTGAAGTGGAAGAATCCCCTTCAACATGGACCATGGAATTGCTATAACGTTGTTTTGATTAATACTCTTACAACAGCATTTTTTTACTTCCATGGACTTGATATTCTGCTTTCAAGGCTTGATTTGAACATATAAAGGTGCCTAGGTATACCAGTTTAAAGAAAATCTTAGTAAGTATAGATTTTTAAGTAGTAACTTTGATCAATTATTAGTAAAAAGTTTGTATTATTAATTGCCATGTTTATAGATAAACAGCATACAACCTTTCAGTGCCAGCTTTATTTGTGTATACCCAGTAAAAATTAAAAAAATACACACCTTTTAATATTCCATTACTTATCTGAAAGCTGAAACAAGTAAACTTTTGGGAATTTTGAAGGGGATACTTTTTCTTCATGCTGATACAAAATTCCAAACTTACAAGTGGTCAATAACATATTTTTCAAGGCTAAAACAAGGGTTATACAGTGTGTATCTTTTCTATGCCCACGGCAGTGAAAGAGTTAAAAATGTTTTAATATGGTGGTTTTGAATCGTGTTTGTTCGTCTAACAGTGGTTTCGGGATGAAGTCAGCAAGGAAGATCAAATCCCTACAGATACATTAGCGCACCTGTTTTCTATACTTGACCCCATGTATGAATTTCAGTGTACCTTTTTGAGGAAACTAGAGCAGCGACTGGCCACTTGGTATTACTTTCACTTTTTTTGTAGAATAAGTAAAGCTAATTAGATTTCGCTATTATCCTTGAGATAAAATTCTTAAAACTTCAATGGCTTTTGATAATTTTAAATACACAAGTACAATAAAATAAGAATTTTGTATTTTTTTTCTTATGAAACACTCGTCCATTAAACATGACAAGTTGAGTTTTTCTTAGTCATCAAGGGATAGACCGTTTATCTGGACACATATCATAGCCATGTATTATACATAACTTGATACTTTAATAAATATGAATCATTATGTTAAAATTATTAAATACGTGTATAAATACGTATGCTCACATTGGGCAACAATTCTGGCTACAAGTTCAATGTAGCACAGATAGAAGCTTTAAAGCACAATACTCTCTAACCTGCATTCATGCACACTTGTACAAGTTCATCAGAGAATCCTGAAAGATAACCTTAATGTGATTACTAATTTTTGTTAAGTTGTGTCTGTCACTTGGTTAAGGTTTATTCATGTGAGCAAGTTAATGTCAGGCATGGTTCTACATTTTTAAATTTGTACTCTTTTCAAATAATTTTTTTCAAGTGCTCAATTCATTTTGTAAATTAATTGTTTTTTGGGCATCTTTATTCTGTTGTTCACTATTAAAGTTCAATTCATTGTTTTTTGGACATCTTTATTCTGTTGTTCACTATTAAGTTCAATTCATTCTCTAAATTCATTGTTTTTTGGGCATCTTTATTCTGTTGTTTGATTCATTCTCTAAATTCATTGTTTTTTGGGCATCTTTATTCTGTTGTTCACTATTAAAGTTTGATTCATTTTATAAATTCATTGTTTTTTGGGCATCTTTATTCTGTTGTTTGATTCATTCTCTAAATTCATTGTTTTTTTGGGCATCTTTATTCTGTTGTTTGATTCATTCTGTAAATTCATTGTTTTTTAGACATCTTTATTCTGTTGTTCGATTCACTCAGTAAGTTCATTGTTTATTGGACATCTTTATTCTGTTCTTCACTATTAAAGTTTGATTGGTTTTTATCATGAAAAGTAGTAAATAACTTTTTTCTCTGTGAAACTTGTGTATAAAAAAAATATTTAATTAATATATCTAAAGTCTGTTTCATTTAGAATTGTATGCTAGACTGTTTCAATGCCTCTAAAAGGTTTAAACTTTGAAAAGGGAAGATTTCTTTAGGGGTTATATGTGTATAATAATTAAGATTGTTTTTCTATCATTTGTGGAAAGCTGTAAACAACTTAGAACTATGTTGGAGTTAAAAATTAGTTAATCTCTGGGTGTGTTTCAAAATAAGGCTTTCAGTAATGAGATAGATGAAACTATATGTAATATTTACCATAAGGTTTATATTTGTGAACTAATAATCATGCAATACGTCTATATAGGGAAGGTAGGTGTACTCCCCCTTCTGAAGATTTCGAACCAGGAGTTGGTGATATTTTATATGAAAATAGTCATATGATAGAGGTAAATTGTTACATAATGTGAACTATTAATTATAAACAATGATTGTTTCTGGTCTTGTAAGAGAAAAATAAAAATTTATTCATTGCAATGTTATATATAAAACTAATAGGTTTTTCAAAGAAAATGTAAACAAAGCAGAACTTAAAAGAAATTAATTTAAAATTCTTACATCTATTATATATTAAAGGAAGCATAAAAGAAAAGAACTATATATATGCTGTTCGTTTTTTTTTCTTCTTTTTTTTTGTTGAGAAAATCATGACATAAAGGTAGCACCTCAAAATGTCCCCATGCATAGCCAAGATTTTGAACTAAAATTAAGTCTGGCTTAATTCTTGTGAATGTCATGTATAATATATCTTACAGTCTTATAATATATCCCCCCCCATTATCCTGTCTTTGATTGCACACATGCTTTAATTGGTTTTTAAGTGTATTAAAAGTTTTGTGTGTGTGTGTGTATATATTTATATATATATGCTGCTTCTCCTTGTTTTATATAGTTTGAGGTATATATAAATTTGTGTACTATTGTGTATTCATAATATGCATATGGATTGTAACTTCAAATTTCTTTTAGCTGGAAGAGAATTACATAAAAGCTCATATTATATGAAGAATATTGTTTTATAACCTGCCGAGATACCTGTATTTTAAACTTTTCCTAGTTTGGAGATTATGGTAACCTGTTGTGTATTGTTGAAGATCTAGATTATGGTAAACTGTTGTGTATCGTTGAAGATCTAGATTATGGTAAACTGTTGTGTATCATTGAAGATCTAGATTATGGTAAACTGTTGTGTATCGTTGAAGATATAGATTATGGTAAACTGTTGTGTATTGTTAAAGATATAGATTATGGTAAACTGTTGTGTATCGTTGAAGATATAGATTATGGTAAACTGTTGTGTATTGTTAAAGATATAGATTATGGTAAACTGTTGTGTATTGTTGAAGATCTAGATTATGGTAAACTGTTGTGTATTGTTGAAGATCTAGATTATGGTAAACTGTTGTGTATCGTTGAAGATCTAGATTATGGTAAACTGTTGTGTATTGTTGAAGATCTAGATTATGGTAAACTGTTGTGTATCGTTGAAGATCTAG